TGCATTGGATCACGTAGAAGGGCTCCATAGACGAGAGCTGGCTGAAAGAGTCGGAGAGACGTGAGAGTGGCGCGCCCGCCCGTGCCGAGCCCCTTCGGCGCGGCCCGCTCCCCTACTCCCCCATGTTTGTGGCGCGCCTTTATAGCGGACCACGAAGAAAGACTCTAGACACGAGAGCTGGCAGAAAAAGTCGGGCAGACGAGAGAATCGCGCACCCGTTCGCGCCGAGCCTCTTCGGCGCGGCCCGCTCCCCCTCTCTCCCATGCTCGAGGCGCGTCAATGCATCCGACCATGTAGAAGGACTCCATAGATGAGAGCTGGCTAAAAGAGTCGAGGAGACGTGAAAGTGGCGCGCTCGCCCGCGCCGAGCTCCTTCGATGTGGCCCGCTCCCCTGCTCCCCCATGTTCGCGCCGCGCCTTTGCAGCGGACCACGTAGAAGGACTCATGAGAGGAAAGCTGGCTGAAAAAGTCGGGGAGACGTGAGAGGGGCACCCGCCCGTGCCGAGCCTCTTCGACGCGGGCCGCCCCCCCATGTTCGCGGCGCGCCTTTGCAGGGGACCATGTACAAAGACTCTAGAGATGAGAGCTGGCTAAAAGAGTCGGGGACACGTGAGAGTGGCGCGCCTGCCAGCGTTAAGCTCCTTCGGCGCGGCCCGCTCCCCCGCTCCCCCATGTTCGCGGCGCGCCAATGCATTGGATCACGTAGAAGGACTCCATAGACGAGAGCTGGCTGAAAGAGTCGGAGAGACGTGAGAGTGGCGCGCCCGCCCGCGCTGAGCCCCTTCGGCGCGGCCCGCTCCCTGGCTCCCCCATGTTCGCGGCGCGCCAATGCATCGCGCCACGTAGAAGGACTCCGTAGACGAGAGCTGGTTGAAACAGTCGGAGAGACGTGAGAGTGGCGCGCCCGCCCGCGCCGAGCCCCTTTGGCGCGGCCCGCTCCCCGTCTCCCCCTTGTTCGCGGCGCGCCAATGCATCGGACCACGTAGAAGGACTCCATAGACGAGAGCTGGTTGAAACAGTCGGGGAGACATGAGAGACGCACGCCCTGTCAGAATATTATGCTCTAGCCTGCAGTGGGGTACTCTATAGCGAGTACAACCCAATTAGGGTTTCCTATATGTATGCCAACTGCTGCTAGTGCAAACCCTCCTTTCTTCATTCTTACTTTCTACAACTAGTTGTGACATGCTATCAGAGCAGGTCGACCCTCCTGGGTCGATCCTGTGGGTGGGCCCACCACCTAAGCCTTCCGCTGCTACTGCTACTGCTACTGCTACTCTGTGTGTCGCACGCCTCGTGGCGTGCGACGGATTTTTCATCCCGCCGTGCGCCCCGAGGTGTGCGGCGGTTTTCTGCCCGCCGTGCGCCCCGAGGCGCGCGGCGGTTTTCTCCCCCCGTCGCCCGCCGAAGCGCCCCCGGGGACCCGCGCGTCGCCCCCGTCGCCCGTGCGCGGCCCGTACTGCACGAGCGCGGCCCGTACAGGCTGCGCCAGGCCCGCGCGCGGCCTGTCCTGCACGCGCGCGGCCCGTACGGGCTGCGCCAGGCCCGCGCGCGGCCCGTACAACCCGCGCGCTGCTCGTACGGGCTGCGCCAGGCCCGCGCGCGGCCCGTACGGCCTGCGCCAGGCCCGCGCGCGGCCCGTACGGGCTGCGCCTGGCCCGCGCGCGCCTCGGGCCGCCTGCGCGCGGTTCGTACGGGCTGCGCCTGGCCCGCGGGCGCCCGGTCTCCTCTCCCACTGAGCTGCACGCCGTCCCTCGCGCTTCTGACGGCGCCCCACCCCTGCTGCTGCCCGTACTCCTGAATTAGGGTTTGGGGGTGGAGCGTATGGGGGTGCCGTCTCTGTCAGCCGTCCCCTGCTCCTCCTCCTCCATCTCCCACTGCTGCAGCTGCTGCTCAGGGGGGTGGGTGTGTGGGAGCCGAGGGTTTAGGGTTTAAGGGGGGTGCCATGGGAGTGGAGCTAGGGTTTCAGCAGGGGGTGTGTGTTGGGGGGTGTGGGACAGTTGGAGGAGGTTGGGTGGAGGCAGCCGTCGTGTCGTCTGCAGCGCCTGTATTCCGGGGTTCTGATAGCCACCGGTAGCTCAGAGAGCCGGTTGCACCTGTCGCCCGTGGGTCCGTTGCTCCTGTCGCTGCTGATCAGACGCAGAGCCTGTTACTCCTGTATTCCGGGGCCCTTGCTCCCGGTAGCCACTAGAGTTGCACCAGAGCCGTCTGTTGCCCGTGTGTCTGCAGCTTCAGTCGTCGCCTCCACTCTTCTCTCCTCTCGCCAGCCCTCCTCCTCCTCACTTGCCCTCTGTAACTGCCTCTAGCTTTGCTCATAATTGTGCACTTTAAACTATTGCTTCTTAAACTTGTGCTCAGAATGTGTGGTGACATTGTGATCCACCCTGAGCTTGTACTGCTTTGCTTTCTCTGCTGATTACACCCCACTTTGGCTATGGGGGTGTGTCAGAATATTATGCTCTAGCCTGCAGTGGGGTACTCTATAGCGAGTACAACCCAATTAGGGTTTCCTATATGTATGCCAACTGCTGCTAGTGCAAACCCTCCTTTCTTCATTCTTACTTTCTACAGCTAGTTCTGACACGCCCGCCCGCGCCGAGCCCCTTCGGCGCGACCCGCTCCCCTGCTCTCCCATGTTCGTGACGCGCCTTTGCAGCGGACCACGTAGAAAGACTCTAGACACGAGAGCTGGCTGAAAGAGTCGGGAAGACGTGAGAGTTGCTCACCCGCCCGCGTCGAGCCCCTTCGGCGCGGACGGCTCCGCCGTTCCCCCATGTTCGCGGCGCGCCAATGCATCGGACCATGTAGAAGGACTCCATGGACGAGAGCTGGCTGAAAGAGTCGGGGAGACGTAAGAGTGGTCCGCCCGCCCGCGCCGAGCTCCTTCGGCGCGCCCTGCTCCCCCGCTCCCACATATTCACGGCGCGCCAATGCATCGGACCACGTAGAAGGACTCCATAGACGAGAGCTAGATGAAAGAGTCGGGGAGACGTGGGAGTGGCGCGCTCGCCCGCGCCGAGCCTCTTCGGCGCGGCCCGCTCCCCCGCTCCCCCATGTTCGCGGCACGCCTTTGCACCAGACCACGTAGAAGGACTCTAGAGATGAAAGCTGGCTGAAAGAGTCGGGGAGACGTGAGAGTGGCGTGCCCGCCCGCGCCGAGCCTCTTTGGCGCGGCCCGCTCCCCCTGCTCCCCCATGTTCTCGGCTTTGAAGCGGACCACGTAGAAGGACTCCAGACACGAGAGCCGGCTAAAAGAGTCAGGGAGACGTGAGAGTGGCGCGCCTGCTCGCGCCGAGCCCCTTCAGCGCGGCCCGCTCCCCCGCTCCCCCATGTTCGCGGCGCGCCTTTGCACCGGACCACGTAGAAGGACTCCAGATATGAGAGCCGGCTGAAAGAGTCGGGGAGACGTGAGAGTCACGCGGCCGCTCGCGTCGAGCTCCTTCGGCGCGACCCGCTTGTTAGAAACTAGCTGCAGGAATGAATGCATTGAGCAGAAAGTTCATACAAGTATGGCAAACCCTAATTGGGTTGTACCCCATATTGGCTACCCCACTACAGCCTACACAGCACAATGTTCTGACACACCCCCATAGGCAAGGTGGGGGAGTACAACCAGTCAAAGTAAAGCAAAGCAAGCTCAGGGTGGATCACGACGTCACCACACACTCCGAGCACAAGCAAGTGGCCATAAGGCCAGTTCACATGCAGTGTCATATAAAACAAAGCAAATTGTACAGTGATCACAACCTAGCAAGTGTAAGCATGCAGGAATATATATAGATCATAGTACAAGCATTTCATGCAGTGAGCAAGTGAGCAAACGTAGGCACGAGGCCTAAAGCAGTGCACAGACTTTGATGATCACCAGGCGGAAGTGCCTTGGTGAATATATCAGCTGTGTTGGCCCGAGTGGCCACGTAAGCAAGACGAAGCTGACCACGCTGCTGCAACTCTCGAGCAAGGAAGTAACGCAGAGCGATGTGCTTCGTTCTGTACTCCAAGCTGTGCTCCTTGTCAAAATATGTTCTGTAGGCTGTAGTGGGGTAGCCCATAAGGGGTACAACCCAATTAGGGTTAGTACTTGTACTCTGTTTCTGTTCAATGCAAGCATCCATTCCTATTAGATTCTAACATGATTTCAGTGCACCATTTGCTTAGTGACCGACTGCGGTTACCGCGCTACCCCTCGCATTGCCCTGCCCTGAGCCGCCCGCGCGCGCCGTTCCTACAGCCCTCCCGTTGCTTCAGCAGCCCCGCGCGCCGCCCTTGCAGCTCGTGCGCTGCGCTTGCTGCCCCGTGCGCTGCCCCAGTAACCCGCGCGCTGCCTCTAGAGCCCCGCGCGCCGCCCTTGCAACCCGCGCGCTGCCTCTGCAGCCCCGCGCGCCGCCCCTGCAATCCTCGCGCTGCCTCTGCAATCACGCGCGCCGCCCCTGCCGCCCGCGCGCTGCCTCTGCAGCCCCGCACATTGCCCCTACAGCCCTCGCGCTGCCTTTGCGACCCCGCGCGCCGCCCCTGCAGCCCTCGCGCTACGTCTGCAGCCCCGCGCGCCGCCCCTGCAGCCCTCGCGCTGCCTCTCCAGCCTCGCGCGCCGCCCCTGCAACCCCGCGTGCCGCCTCTGCAGCCCCGCGCGCTGCCTCTGCAGCCCCACGTGCCGCCTATGCAGCCCTTGTGCGCCCTGGCCCTGCCCTGCCTGCGCGCAACGCTCTGCCCTGCCCGCGCGCCTTGGCCCTGCCCTGCCCGCGCACCTGGCCCTGCCTTGCACTGCCCTACACGCTACATTGATCCTGACGGCCGCCCTATTAAGTTCGAGACTTGGCTCCAGGACCTACAGCTGTTCTTACTGAGCGACTCGAAAGACGATGTTTCACTGTATGACCTCACGTCTGAAGCCTTTTCTGCCCCTCTTGACACTGCTGACAGTGCGACTCGCTCCAAGTGGCTTACCCGCAACGCTGCCACCCGCTACTCCTCCCCTACCACTGTAGCTCTTGGCCGCCTCATGCTCCCCTACCTTTTTCCCGAGCTATACTCCTTCGCCATAGTAGACGACCTCATCACCCACCTCCGTGCTATGGACGCTCGCTACCGTGCCGCCCTCCCAGACGAGTTTCTCCCCAAGAACGAGCCCCCGATTTACATCACTCTCTACTTTATAGTCACTCGCCTCCCTGACTCTCTTAGTGTTTTCAGGGACACTCTTCTCGCCCTTCGCCCGACAGACCTCACTATCGACCTGCTCAAGAAGAACCTCCGTGAAACTGAGACCAACATAGTGGTTGTAGGTGCTACTCGTGGCACTCCTCGCACGCCCTTCTTTGAGGGGTGCTCCCCCTCCCCCCTTGCCCCCTCTGCTGCTTCTGCTGCTGCTGACGACTTCCTTGGTGCTAAGGAGGTCGGTGTTGCTTCTGCTCCTAGTGGGAAGCGCCGCAGCGGCAAGGGCAAGGGAGGCAAGAGTGGTGGGAGTGGTGGCGGGGGGGGTGGTGGTGGAGGCGGTGGCGGCGGTGGAGGTGGCGGAGGTGGCGGTGGGAGTGGTGGAGGGAGTGGGGGCGTCGGTGGCGGAGGTGGTGGCAGCGGTGGGGTTGGTAGTGGTGATGGTCGTGGCGGCAGTGGGAGTGGTGGCAGCGGTGGTTGCGGTGGAGGGAGTGGTGGCGGTGGCGGTGGTGGTGGTCGGACTGGAGCTGTTCAGCAGCAGCAGCACCAGCGTCCGCGTGAGACCCTCACGCCTCAGTAGCTTCGTGAGTGGCTTTTTCAGCGTGGGGCGATTAAGGGTAGTGGTCGATGCCCGTGCGTCATTCGCACAGATGACCGTGCTGGTCAGACGTGCGGGAAGTTTCACACCCAGCACCGCTGTTTCTCCCGCCTAGACGACGCTTGGCGTGCAGAGTTTGGCGAGGAGATGGAACTTCCCCGCTGGGCAGATCTGCTTAAATCTGGAGTTGATATCTTTGCTCTTGACTTTGATGCTATCATTGCTAGCATGTATGCATTGACTGTTAGTGCTGAGGGTGACTGTTACTTGTGTGTGCCGCTTGACCCAGGTATAGAGGCTGCTGCCCTAGGTGCTAGTGAGTTTGCTCTCTCTGGTACTGCGCCTGCTGAGGCCTTGCACACCTTCACGCTCGACTCAGGTGCCTCTCACTGTTTCTTTCGCGACAGTACCACAGTCACACCACTCACTAGACCCGTTGCAGTTTCCCTGGCTGACCCCTCTGGGGGCCCGGTTCTTGCACGTTCCTCCACTGTGCTCCCGTGTCCGGCGGTTCCGTCCGGCTCACTGTCAGGTCTCCACCTCCCCTCGTTCTCGACGAACTTGGTGACTAACGCAGTCCTTCAGGATGCGGGGGTTGATACCTTCACCCCTGGATTGCAGCGTGTGGCGATCTGTACGTGCTCTCGGACTGGCCGTCACCTGGCCACGTTCACCCGTCGGCCTGGGTCGAGTCTGTACACACTGACTACTAAGCCTCCTTAGGCTGCTGCGTCTAGTCAGGTGGCCGCGTCAGGTCAGGTAGCTCCCCCCTGCGAGTGTCGTCACCTCTCGCACCAGACTCTCCTTTGGCACCACCGCCTTGGTCACCCCTCCTTGCCACGCCTTCGTGGCATGCACTCCCGCCTCCTTGTCACTGGTCTTCCCAGGTCTCTGCCTTCCCTCCCACCCTTGCCTGCCCCGCCCTGCATTCCTTGCGTCGAGGGGCGGCAGCGCGCCGCTCCTCACTCCTCCTCGTTTCCACCGAAGACTGCTCCTCTACAGACTCTCTACATGGACGTGTGGAGCCCAGCCCACGTCTGTGGATTGGGCCGCGAGCGATACTTTCTGCTGGTTGTCGACGACTACTCGCGTTACACCATGGTCTTCCCCTTGCGCAGCAAGGGGGAGGTCCCTGATGTCTTGATCCTTTGGATCCGAGCTGTCCGTCTCCGACTGCGCGAGCGGTTCCGCACGGACCTCCCTGTCCTGCGTCTACACTCTGACAGAGGTGGTGAGTTCTCCTCCGACCTCTTGAGGGACTTTTGTCAGGGGGAGGGCATCCTCCAGTCGTTCACGCTTCCGGCCTCCCCGCAGCAAAATGGGATTGCTGAGCGCCGCATTGGCTTAGTCATGGAGGTCGCTCGTACCTCCATGATCCACGCGGCTGCTCCCCATTTTCTGTGGCCATTTGCGGTCCGGTACGCCGCGCATCAGCTCAACCTCTGGCCCCGTGTCTCCTTGCCGGAGACCTCGCCTACACTGCATTGGACGGGGGAGGTTGGCGATGCGTCGGTGTTCCGGGTCTGGGGTTCTCGTGCCCTCGTCCTCGATACCTCCGCGGACAAGCTCTCCTCTCGCGCCATTCCCTACGTCTTCCTTGGCTTTCCCCCTGACGCGCCTGGCTGGCAGTTTTACCACCCCACCTCGCGCCGTGTCTTCCCCTCTCAGGACGTCACGTTTGACGAGTCGGTCCCCTTTTACCGTCTCTTCCCCTACCGCACTGCTCCTCTCCCCCCCCCCCCCCCCCCGCCGCTCTTCCTCGCTCCAGGTCCCCCTCCGGTAGACCCCCTCCCCCCTTAGGGTCCTGCTCCTTCAGGTGTGTCTCAGGTAGACCCACTCCCCTTGGTTGAGCCTGTCGAGGTCACTGGTGACTCAGGTGCTGCTGGGGGTGGTCCTGCTCGGGGTGCTGCGACTGGGCGTGCTGGGACTGGGGGTGTGGGGTCTGGGGATTCTACGCCCGAGTGTGTGGGGCCTGGGGGTGCTGAGCCTAGGAGTGCTGGGCCTGGGGGTGCTGCTTTTGGGGGTGCTGAGCCTGGGGGTGCTGAGCCTAGGGGTGCTGAGCCTAGGGGTGCTGCTTCTGGGGGTGATGAGCCTGGTGGTGCTGACCCTAGGAGTGCTGAGCCTGGTGGTGCTTCGTCTGCTGGTGGTCTTCCGGGTGCCTCACCGCAGCCGTCTCCCCAGCGTGAACCCCTCTCACCACAACACCTGCGCGAGTAGCTTGCCCAGCGCACCCGCCTTCGGAGAGGAGCTGGGGCTGGAGGTACTTGCACTGGAGGCGCTGTCGCTGTCGCTACTGGAGCTGGAGGCGCTAGAGCTGGAGGTGCTGGCGCTGGAGGTGCTGGAGCTAGTGGCGCGGGAGCTGGAGGCGCTGGAGCGGGAGACACTGGCGCTAGAGGAGCTGGTGTTGGAGGTACTGGTGCTGGAGGCGCTGGCGCTATCGATACAGGAGCTGGAGGCGCTCGAATTGGAGGTGCTAGCGCTGGAGGTGCTAGAGCTAGTGGTGCAGGAGTTGGAGGCGCTGGAGCTGGAGACACTGGCGCTAGAGGAGCTGGTGCTGGAGGTACTGGTGCTGGAGCCGCTGGCGCTGGAGCTACTAGAGCTGGAGGTTTTGGAGCTGGAGGTGCTGGAGCTGGAGGCCCTGTGCAGCAGCGACCGTTTTTCTTGCCGCCGCCGCAGCTGTCTGAGCTTCCACCAGAGTCGGTGCTCCGTCAGGTTCTTAGTCTTCCTTCGTCCACTGCCCTTCCTCCGGACTCACCGCTGCCTTCCCTGTCTCGGTACACTGAGCAGCCGGTTTCCCTTACAGAACGTCGTGAGCCTGCGTCTTGTCCAGCCTCCCCTGTCCGTCGTGCTCGTCGTGTCCCGCGTCCGCGTCCTCCTCCTGTGCCAGGTACTAATACTATGGCACTTCGTCCTTCCTCTGTTCCACAGCGCGTCCCTCTGCCGTCTCCTCCTACGTCCTCCTTTCCTGACATTCCGAACTCTGAGCCTGACAGTGTGCGTGCTACCACCCCTACTGTCACCCGTCTCCTGGCTACTGTTGTCACTGACCCGTGTAAGAACGTCTAGCCAAGAATGAATGCATTGAAAGAAGGTTGGGTACAAGTAACAAACCCTAGAGGGGTTGTACCCCATATTGGCTACCCCACTACAGCCTACACAAGTATAACATATATAGTTTGACACACCCCCATAGACAAAGTGGGGGAGAACAAGGGGTCACAAGACCAGTCTAGAGAAGCAAAGCAAGCTCAGGGTGGATCACAACGTCACCACACACTCTGAGCACAAGCAAAGGGCCAGAAGGCCAGTTCACATGCAGAAGTATATATGCAACAAGAACAGCACAGTGATCTCTACCTAGCAAGAGCAAGCATGCAGGAATATATATAGAGATCACAGTACAAGCAGAGTCTACAGCAAGTGTGGAAACGTAGGCACAAGGCCTAACAGGGTACAAAAGCGCTGATGATCACCAGACGAAAGCGCCTTGGTGAATATATCAGCAGTGTTGGCCCGGGTGGCCACGTGAGCAAGGCGAAGCTGACCCCGCTGCTGCAACTCTCGAGCAAGGAAGTAACGCAGGGCGATGTGCTTCGTTCTATGCTCCAGTCTGTGCTCCTCGCACAAGGCAATGGCGGCCTTGTTGTCGACGTACAGCACTGGAGGAGAACGAGGCCGCTCTCCCAGGTCAGTCAGCAGGTAAGTGAGCCAGCGTAACTCCTGTGCAGCCATGGCTGTGGCGTAGATCTCAGCCTCACAACTGGAGCTGAGAACAAAAGACGAGCGAGTAGAACGCCAAGAAACAGAACCGGAGCCAAGGCTGAAAGTGTAACCCTGTGACGACCGCTGTGTAGCCTGGTCGTCAACCCAAGAAGCGTCCGAGTGCCCAGTGAGAACCACGTCTCTCCGCCCTCCAAGCACGAGCCCCATGCCCGACGTACTGCACAAGTAGCGCAGTACCCTCTTCGCAGCATCCCAGTGCACCTTTCGGTGTCGACCAGGAGCCACGTAACGGGCCAGAAGGCCAAGAGGGTACGCAAGGTCAGGACGAGTGCAGGTCATCAGGTACATGAGGCAGCCCACTAGCTCTGAGTAAGGACCACTCGGCTCTACGGACTCGTCCGAAGGTGGAGCTGAGAGCGAGTGACCTGTAGCCAGAGGAGTGGACTGTGGCGAGGACCAGGTGAAGCCGAAGCGCTAAAGGACCTGCTGCACCATGTGTGACTGAGTCAGAGTGATGGTGCGGCGTGCTCTGTCCCGGGTGATCTGCAAGCCAAGATAGCTGCGCAGCTCACCCATGTCTGTGCACGTGTGTCTCTTCTGCAGCTCCGACTTCACCAGGGCAAGAGCCTCAGTGTCAGTAGTGGCAAAGACCAAGTCGTCGACGTACACGAGGATGTAGAACGGCGGCAGGGAAGTGTCGGTGCGCAGAAACAGCGACGGGTCAGCAGTCAAAGGAGCAAACCCAAGAGCCGCAAGTGTCGTCCTCAGTGTGTCATGCCACTCACGAGGCGCCTGGCGGAGACCGTAGACTGGCCGCCGGAGGCTCCACTGGGTACCAGGCGGGAACGACCCAGTGAAGCCAGGTGGGCGGCGCAGCCAGATCTCCTCGTGCAGGCTACCCTGTAAGAAGGCTGTGCTGAAGTCCAGTGAGTGAAGCTCGTAGTCACGCTGAGCGGCAATGTGCAGCAGCACCCGAAGAGTGGTCATCTTCGGGGTGGGGGAGAAGGTCTGGAAGAAGTCGACTCCCTCTCGCTGACTGAAGCCTCGAGCAACGTAACGAGCCTTGAAGACAGGGGGAGAACCTGGCGGCCGCTTCACCCTGAAAATCCACATGCCATCAACGATGTTCGCCCCTGGAGGGGGAACCTCATCGACGTACAGTAAGTGCCTGTGGACTTCCAGGATGCCATCTCTGCGTCCATGGCTGTCTGCCACTGAGAGGAGTAGGGGCCCGCGATCGCCTCAGCGTAAGAGCGCGGGGTCGGGATGTCTAGAGCATCCGGGTCTCCCTCAGGGACAAGCAGCATGGCCACGAGATGAGGCGCAGTGGCCGCAAGACACTCAAGGTCCTCCTGTCTGTCCTCAAGGACGTCCGTGCCAAGAGCACACTCACCCTCGACGGACGGAGGATAGACAGACTCAGACTCAGCAACTAGACCGGCAGCGTAGTCTAGACGACAGGCAGCAGCAAAGTCGACAAGCTCAGCGACCAAGGCAGACGCAGCAGTAGACTCAAACGACGGGTCAGTGACAACAGTGGCTAACAGACGCGTGACAGTAGGGTGCTCAGCACGAAACCGGTCAGACTCAGGGTCCGCAACGTCAGGCAGAGAGGACGCAGGAGGAGACGACAGAGGAACAGACTGCGGAGCAGAGAAAGGACGACGGATGACGAGGCGCGCACTGGGGACAGCCGGCGAACGCGGACGAGGAACACGACGACTGGTACGACCAGAACGAACAGGCGAGACAAGACGCGACGCAGGCTCACGACGCTCAGCAAGACCCCCTGCCTGCTCAGTGTAAGGGGAAGGAGCAGGCAGCGGTGAGCCAGGCTGTAACGAAAGACCAGTAGAAGACGGGAGGCTGAGAACCTGACTAAGTACAGTGTCAGGCGGTGGCTGAGACGACGGAGACGGTGGAGCGAAGAACAGTCGCGGGGGTGCAGTGCCACCAGCACCAGCAGCTCCAGAACTCCCAGCGCCAGCACCTCCAGGACCAGCTCCACCAGCAGCAGCACCCCCAGACCCAGGGTCTCCAGCCGCAGTGTCTCCAGCAGTAGCACCCGCAGGCTCAGCACCTCCAGCCCCAGCAGCTCCAGTTCCTCCAACCAGTACGAGCACCTCCGGGACCAGCAACTCCAGCACCGCCAGGAGACAAAGGACCAGTACCACTCCCAGCTCCAGCAACGTCAGCAGCAGCACCTCCAGCGGCAGAACTCCGAGCTCCAGAAGCGCGACCCTGACGGCGACCGTACCAGTCGTGGAGCTGCTGTGACGTGAGCGGCACACGCGGACGAAGGCGGCTACTCCAAGGAGACCGCGCAACAGCAGACTCAGAACCCTCAGCGCCAGCACCCGCAGCAGCTCCAGAACCTCCAGCGCCAGCACCCGTAGCAGCTCCAGAACCTCCTGCTCTAGCGCCACCAGCGCCAGCACCTCCAGCAGCTCCAGAACCTCCAGCGCCAGCACCCTCAGCAGCTCCAGAACCTCCAGCTCCAGCGCCACCAGCGCTAGCACCTCCAGCAGCTCCAGAACCTCCAGCAGAAACAACTCCAGTAGCAGAGTCACAAGCTCCAGCGCCTCCAGCAGCAGGGCCCCTAGCTCCAGCAGCGCGACCCTGACGGCCAACGTACCACTCACGCAGCTGCTGTGGGGAGAGAGGGAGTAGACGACGAGAGTGCAGCGGCGAGGCACCAGCGGAGCGACTACGGAGACGGCCGCTCCAGGGAGACTGCTCACCAGACGCCTCAGCGCCCCCAGGTGCAGCACCCCCAGACTCAGTACCCCCAAGCTCAGCACCCCCAGACTCCTCACACTCAGGCTCAGCACCTCCAGGCTCGGCACACTCAGGCTCCGCACCCCCAGGCTCAGCACCCCCAGGCTCCGCACCCCCAAGCTCAGCACCCCCAGGCTCAGCACCCCCAGAAGTAGTACCCCGAGCAGGACCACCCGCAGCAGGACCTGAGTCACCAGTGACCTCAACCGGCGCAGTCAAGGGAGGAGGGTCAACCTGAGACACACCTGAAGGAGCAGGACCGGGAGCGGGGAGGGGGTCTACCTGGGGAGCACCTGGAGCGAGAAAGAGCGGCGGGGGGGGGGAGAGGGGCAGTGCGGTAGGGGAAGAGACGGTAAAAGGGAACCGACTCGTCGAACGTGACGTCCTGAGAGGGGAAGACACGGCGCGAGGTGGGGTGGTAAAACTGCCAACTAGGCGCGTCAGGGACAAAACCAAGGAAGACACAGGGAACAGCGCGGGCGGAGAGCTTGTCCGCGGTGGTATCGCGGACAAAGGCACGAGCACCTCAGACCCGGAAACGTGACGCATCGCCAACCTTCCCCGTCCACAGCAGCGTGGGCGAGGTCTCCGGTAAGGAGACACGGGGCCAGAGGTTGAGCTAATGCGCAGCGTACCGGACCGCAAATGGCCACAGAAAATGGGGGGCAGCCGCATGGATCATGGAGGTACGAGCGACCTCCATGACTAAGCCAATGCGGCGCTCAGCAACCCCATTCTTCTGCGGAGAGGCCGGAAGCGTGAACGTCTGACGGATGCCGTGCTCCGCACAGAAGGCTGCCAAGAGGTCTGAGGAGAACTCACCACCTCTGTCAGAGTGCAGACGCAGGACGGGAAACTCCGTCCTGAACCGCTCGCGGAGCTGGAGACGGGCAGCGCGGATCCAAGGGATCAAAACATCAGGGACCTCCCCCTTGCGCTGCAAGGGGAAGACCGGCGGGGCCGCGTCGGCGGTAGGGCGGTGCCGCGCGGGCCGCGTCGGCAGCAGGGCAGGGCCGCTACCCGGCGGAGCCGCTGCGGCGGTAGGGCGGGGTCGCGCGGGCTTAAGGGCACCGTGACGGGCAGGCAGGTGGCCGGGCGCGGGCGTGAGGGTGACGCGACGGGCAGGCAGGGGGCCGGGCGCGGGCTTAGGGCGACGCGACGGGCAGGCAGAGGGCCAGGCGCGGGCTTGGGGCAACGCGACGGGCAGGCAGGGGGCCGGGCGCGGGCTTAGGGCGACGCGACGGGCAGGCAGGGGGCCGGGCGCGGGCTTAGGGCGACGCGACGGGCAGGCAGGGGGCCGGGCGCGGGCTTAGGGCGACGCGACGGGCAGGCAGGGGGCCGGGCGCGGGCTTAGGGCGACGCGACGGGCAGGCAGAGGGCCGGGCGCGGGCTTAGGGCAATGCGACGGGCAGGCAGGGGGCCGGGCGCAGGCTTAGGGTGACGCGACGGGCAGGCAGGGAGCCAGGCGCGGGCTTAGGGCGACGCGACGGGCAGGCACTGGGCAGGCGCGGGCCTTAGGGCGCGTTCGTTCCGTCAAATTTGAAAAAGTTTATGTTTTGGGGGCGAATATTTTTTTTGAACTTAAGTCGAATGGAATTCGACTTTCCTTGTAGCGAGGTTCGAACATTGCGGGAATAACACTGCAAAGATGTAATCACGCACGCAAGGTCGAACACCAAAATTCGAAACTTTAAGTTACCCGGTACATGCTCGCCAAGTCAACATACTACTGTTTTTTGTTTCGCAGTGTACTCGTCAATTTCGCATGGTCTTCGTGTGTGCCGAAACACACACGCTCGCTTCAACGTGTACAAGCACGTTCATCTATTCGACTCGAGTCAAGTTTGCTTTTCACGTTCGAACTTTTATAAGCCCTAAAATTCGCGATGTTCGTCTGATGTCATGAGCGAGATTTGCGAAAACCGTAACCACACAAAGTTCGAACTTATTTTCGAACTCGAACGCGCCCTTAGGGCAACGCGACGGGCAGGCAAGGCAGGGCGCGTGTGGGGCAGCGCAGTAACCGCAGGCAGGCATGCGTTCGGTGGGCCAAAAAAAAAATCCGGTCCTAACGGACGAACCGCTCTGAAACCATGTTAGAAAGTCTAGGCAAGAATGAATGCATTGAAAGAAGGTTGGGTACAAGTAACAAACCCTAGAGGGGTTGTACCCCATATTGGCTACCCCACTACAGCCTACACAAGTATAACATATATAGTTTGACAACCCGTCGTTTGAGTCTGCTGCTGCGTCTGCCTTAGTTGCTGAGCTTGTGGACTTTGCTGCTGTGTGTCGTCTAGACTACGCCGCCAGTCTTGTTGCTGAGTCTGAGTCTGTCTGACCTCCGTCCGTCGGGGGTGAGTGTGCTCTTGGCACGGACGTCCTTAAGGACAGGCAGGAGGACTTTGAGTGTCTTGCGGTTGCTGTACCTCATCTCGTGGCCTGGCTGCTTGCACCTGAGGGAGACCCGGATGCACTAGACATCCCGACCCCGCGCTCTTACGCAGAGGCGATCACGGGTCCCTACTCCTCTCAGTGGCAGACAGCCATGGACGCAGAGATGGCATCCTGGAAGTCCACAGGCACCTACGTCGACGAGGTTCCCCCTCCTGGGGCGAACATTGTCGATGGCATGTGGATTTTCACGGTGAAGCGGCTGCCGGGTTCTCCGCCTGTCTTCAAGGCTCGTTACGTTGCACGAGGCTTCAGTCAGCGACAGGGAGTTGACTTTTTCCAGACCTTCTCCCCTACCCCGAAGATGACCACTCTTCGGGTGCTGCTGCACGTTGCCGCTCAGCGTGACTACAAGCTTCACTCTCTTGACTTCAGCACAGCGTTCTTACAGGGCAGCCTGCATGAGGAGATCTGGCTGCGCCACCCACCTAGCTTCACTGGATCGTTTCCTGAGGATATCCAGTGGAGCCTCAGGCGGCCAGTCTACGGTCTCCGCCAGGCGCCTCGTGAGTGGCACGACACACTGAGGATGACTCTTGCGCCTCTTGGGTTTGCTCCTTCTACCGCTGACCCGTCGTTGTTTATACGCACCGACACTTCACTACCGCCGTTCTACATCCTCGTGTACGTTGACGACTTGGTTTTTGCCACTGCTGACACTGAGGCACTGGCCCTTGTGAAGTCGGAGCTGTAGAAGAGACGCACGTGCACAGACCTGGGTGAGCTGCGCAGCTACCTTGGCTTGCAGATCACCCTGACTCAGTCACACATGGTGCAGCAGGTCCTTCAGCGCTTCGGCTTCCAGTTCTCCTCACCACTGTCCACTCCTCTGCCTACCGGTCACACGCTCTCAGCTCCACCTTCGGACGAGTCCGTAGAGCCGAGTGGCCCGTATTCAGAGCTTGTGGGCTACCTCATGTACCTGATGACCTGCACGCGACCTGACCTTGCGTACCCTCTTAGCATCCTGGCTCGCTACGTTGCGCCTGGGAGACACCGGCGAGAGCACTGGGAGGCTACTAAGAGGGTGCTGCGTTACTTGTGCAGTACATCGGGCATGGGGCTGGTGCTTGGAGGACGGGGTCGAGTTGTCCTCACTGGACACTCAGACGCCTCTTGGGTTGACGACCTGGCTACGCAGCGGTCGTGACAGGGTTACACCTTCAGCCTTGGTTCCGGCTCTGTTTCTTGGCGGTCTACCCACTCGTCTTCTGTTCTCAGCTCCAGTTGTAAGGCTGAGATCTACGCGGGGGCCATGGCTGCACAGGAGTTACGCTGGCTCACCTACCTGCTGACTGACTTGGGAGAGCGGCCTAGTTCTCGTCCAAATATGTACGTAGACAACAACGCTTCTATTGCCTTGTGTCAGGAGCACAGACTGGAGCACAAAACGAAACACATCGCTCTGCGTTACTTCCTTGCTTGAGAGTTGCAGCAACGTGGCTAGCTTCGTCTTGCTTACGTGGCTAGTTGGGCCAATAGAGCTGATATATTCACCAAGGCATTTTCGTCTGGTGATCATCAGCGTCTCTGTACTGCTCTAGGCCTCGTGCCTACGTTTTCTCATCTGCTCAATGCTTGACCTTGTTTGTACTGTGATCTATATGTATCCTTGCATGCTTACACTTGCTAGGTTGTGATCACTGTACTGCTTGCTTTGTTTTATATAACTCTGCATGTGAACTGGCCTTAGGCCATCTGCTTGTGCTCGGAATGTGTGGTGACTTCGTGATCCACCCTTAGCCTGCTTTGTTTCTCTTGACTGGTCTTGTGACCGCTTGTTCTCCCCCACCGTGCCTATGGGGCTGTGTCAAAATATGTTCTACAGGCTATAGTGGGGTAGCCCATAAGGGGTACAACCCAATTAGGGTTAGTACTTGTACTCTGTTTCTGTTCAATGCAATCATCCTTTCCTGTTAGATTATGACACTCTTGACACAAGGCGATAGCGGCCTTGTTGTATACGTATAGAACTGGAGGAGAACTAGGCCGCTCTCCCAAGTCAGTCAGCAGGTAGGTGAGCCAGCGTAACTCCTGTGCAGCCATGGCTCCTGCATAGATCTCAGCCTCACAACTGGAGCTGAGAATAGAAGACGAGCGGGTAGACCGCCAAGAAACAGAGCCGGAGCCAAGGCTGAAGGTGTACCCCTGCGACGACCGCTGCGTAGCCAGGTCGTCAACCCAAGAGGCGTCTGAGTGTCCCGTGAGGACAACTCGACCCAGTCCTCCAAGCACCAGCCCCATGCCTGATGTACTACACAAGTAGCGTAGCACCCTCTTAGCAGCCTCCAGTGCTCTCGTCGGTGCCTCCCAGGCGCAACGTAGCGAGCCATGATGCTAAGAGGGTATGCAAGGTCAGGTCGCGTGCAGGTCATCAGGTACATGAGGTAGCCCACAAGCTCTGGATACGGGCCACTCGGCTCTACGGACTCGTTTGAAGGTGGAGCTCAGAGGGAGTGACCGGTAGGCAGAGGAGTGGACTGTGGTGAGGAGAACTCGAAGCCGAAGCGCTGAAGGACTTGCTGCACCATGTGTGGCGTGCTCTGTCCCGAGTCATCTGAAAGCCAAGATAGCTGCGCAGCTCGCCCAAGTCTGTGCACGTGTGTCTCTTTTGCAGCTCCGACTTCACACGGGCCAATGCCTCAGTGTCAGCAGTGGCAAAGACCAAGTCGTCGACGTACACGATGATGTAGAACGGCGACAGCGAAGTGTCGGTGCGCAGAAACAGCGACGAGTCAGCAGTCGAAGGAGCAAACCCGAGAGCCGCAAGCGTCATCCTCAGTGTGTCGTGCCACTCACGAGGTGCCTGGCGGAGACCGTAGACTGGCCGCCTGAGGCTCCATTGGATACCCTCAGGAAACGACCCAGTGAAGCCAAGTGGGCGGCGCAGCCAGATCTCCTCGTGCAGGTTGCCCTGTAAGAAAGCTGTGCTGAATTCAAGAGAGTGAAGCTCGTAGTCACGCTGAGCGGCAACGTGCAGCAGCACCTTGGAAGTGGTCATCTTCGGGGTAGGGGAGAAGGTCTGGAAGTAGTCAACTCCCTGACGCTGACTGAAGCCTCGAGCAACGTAACAAGCCTTGAAGACAGGCGGAGAACCCGGCGGCCGCTTCACCGTGAAAATCCACATGCCATCGACTATGTTCGCCCCAGGAGGGGGAACTGCGTCGACGTAAGTGCATGTGGACTTCCAGGATGCCATCTCTGCGTCCATGGCAGTCTGCCACTGAGAGGAGTAGGGACCCAAAATCGCCTCTGCGTAAGAGCGCGGGGTCGGGATGTCCAGTGCATCCGGGTCTCCCTCAAGTGCAAGCAGCCAGGCCACAAGATGAGGTACAGCAGCTGCAAGACACTCAAAGTCCTCCTGCCTATCCTCAAGGACGTCCGTGCCAATAGCACACTCACCCCCGACGGACGGAGGACAGACAGACTCAGACTCAGCAACAAGACTAGCGGCGTAGTCTAGACGACACGCAGCAGCAAAGTCCACAAGCTCAGCAACTAAGGCAGACGTAGTAGTAGACTCAAACGTCAGGCTAGTGTTGACTGTGGCGAGGAGACGCGTGACAGTGGGACTAGCAGCAAAAACATGGTCAGACTCAGAGTCTAGAACGTCATGAAGAGAGGACGCAGGAGGAGACGGCAGAGGGACGCGCTGTGGAGCAGAGGAAGGACGAAGTGCCATAGTGTGAGTACCTGGCACAGGAGGAGGACGCGGACGAGGGACACGACGAGCACGGCGAACAGTGCAAACAGGGGAGGCAGGACGAGACGCAGGCTCACGACACTCTGAAAGGGAGACTGGCTGCTCAGTGTAACGAGGTGGGGCAGGCAGCGGTGAGTCTGGAGGAAGGGCAGTGGACGAAGGAAGACTAAGAACCTGACAGAGCACCGACTCGGGCGGTAGTGAGGACAGCTGCGGCGGCGGCAAGAAAAACGGTCGCTGCTGCACAGGGCCTCCAGCTCCAGTATCTCTAGCTCCAGAACCTCCAGCTCCAACGCCTCCAGTGCCAGTGTGTCCAGCTCCAGTGCCTCCGGCTCGAGCGTCTCCAGCGCCAGTGCCTCCAGCTCCAGCGCCTCCAGCTCCAGCGCCTCCAGCTCTAGCGCCTCCAGCTCAAGCGCCTCCAGCGCCAGTGCCTCTAGCTCTAGCACCTCCAGCTCCAGCGCCTCCCGCGCCAGCGCCTCCATCGTCAGGGCCTCCAGCTCCAGCACCTCCAGCTCCAGCGCCCCCATCGTCAGTTCCTCCAGCTCCAGCACCTCCAGTTCCAGCTCCAGCGTCTCCAGTGCAAGCGCCTCCAGCTCCAGTAGCGCAACTCCGAAGGCGAGTGCGCTGAGCGAACCACTCCCGCAGCTGCTATGGCGAGAGAGGCTCTCGCTTTCTAAACCGCAGTGGCGAGGCACCCGGAGGACGACTAGCAGACGCAGCACCCCCAGGCTCAGCACCCGCAGGCTCAGCACCCCTTGACGCAGCACCCCCATTCTCAGCACACTCAGGCTCCGCACGCACAGGCTCAGCACCCCCAGGCTCCGCACGCTCAGGTTCAGCACCCCCAGGCTCCGCACCGTCAGGCTCAACACCCCCAGACGCAGTACCCCGAACAGTACCACCCCCAGCAGCACCTGAGTCACCTGAGACTTCGTCAGGCTCAGCCAAGGGAAGTGGGTCTACCTGAGACACACCTGAAGGAGCAGGACCCTGAGGGGGGAGGGGGTCTACCTGGGGAGGACCTGGAGCGAGGAAGAGCGGGGGGGGGGAGATGAGCAGTACGGTAGGGGAAGAGACGGTAGAAGGGAACCGACTCGTCAAACGTGACGTCCTGAGAGGACAGAACACGGCGCGAGGTGGGGTGGTAAAATTGCCAGGCAAGCGCGTCAGTGGGAAAGCCAAGGAAGACGCAGGGAATGGCGCAAGAGGAGAGCTTGTCCGCGGAGGTATCGCGGACAAAGGCACGAGAGCCCCAGACCCGGAACGCAGACGCAGGACGGGAAGGTCCGTGCGGAACCGCTCGCGGAGCTGGAGACGGACAGCGCGGATCCAAGGGATCAAGACATCAGGGACCTCACCCTTGTTGCGCAAGGGGAAGACCGTGGTGTAACGCGAGTAGTCATCAACAACCAGCAGAAAGTAGCGCTCGCGGCCCTGTCCCTGGACGCGGGCTGGGCCCCACACGTCCATGTGGAGAGTCTGCAGAGGAGCAGTCGTCGGGGGAAACGAGGAGGAGTGAGGAGCGGCGCGCTGCCGCCCCTTGACGCAAGGAACGCAGGGCAGAGCAGACGAGGGTGGGAGGGAAGGCAGAGACCTGGGAAGATCACAGACAAGGAGGCGGGAGTGCATGCCACGAAGGCGTGGCAGGGAGGGGTGACCCAGGCGGTGGTGCCAAAGGAGAGTTTGGTGCGACAGGAGTTGACACGAGCAGGGGGCTGCTACCTGACCTGGCGCGAACACCTGAACAGACGCAGCAACCTAAGGGGGCGCAGTAGTCAGTGTGTACAGACTCGACCCAGGCCGACGGGTGAACGTGGCCAGGTGACGGCCAGGCCGGGAGCACGTACAAATTGCCACACGCTGGCCTCCACGGGTAAAGGTATGAACCCATGCATTTTGAAGGACTGCGTTGCTCACCAAGTTTGTCGAGAACGAGGGGAGGTGGAGACCTGACAGTGAGCCGGACGGAACCACCGGGCACGGGAGAACAGTGGAGGAACGTGCAAGAACCGGGCCCCCAGAGGGGTCAGCCAGGGAAACTACAACGGGCCTAGTGAGTGGTGTGACTGTGGTGCTGTCGCGAAAGAAACAGCGGGAAGCACCTGAGTCAAGCATGAAGGTGTGCAAGGCCTCAGCAGGCGCAGTACCAGAGAGAGCAGACTCACTAGCACCTAGAGCAGCAGCCTATATACCTTCGTTAGGAGGCACACAGAGGTAACAGCCACCCTCAGCACTAGTAGTCAAAGCATACATGCCAGCAAGAATAGTGTCATAGTCAAGAGCAAAGATATCAACACCAGCCCTAAGCAGCTCTTCCCAACGGGGCATCTCAGCCTCATCGCCATACTCAGCGCACCAAGCGTTATCTAGGCAGGAGAAGCAGCGATGTTGGGTGTGAAACTTCCCGCGCGTCTAACCAGCGCGGTCACCTGTGCGAATGACGCACGGGTAGCGAGCACTACCCCCTGACGTCCCACGCTGAGCGTACCACTCACGAAGCTGCTGGGGCGTGAGGGTCTCACGCTGACGCTGCTGGTGCTGCCGGTGAACAGCTCCAGCCCGACCACCACCACTGCGGCCGCCGCCACTCCCTCCGCCGCCACCACCGCCGCCACCACTCCCACTGCCGCCACGACCACCACCACCACCCCCACCACTGCCGCCACCGCCGCCACCGACGCCCCCGCTCCCGCCACCACTCCCACTGCCACCTCCGCCACCTCCACCGCCTCCACCGCCTCCACCACCACCCCCCCCCCCGCCGCCACCCCCACCACTCTTGCCTCCCTTGCCCTTGCCGCTGCGGCGCTTCCCACTAGGATCAGAAGCAGCCCCAACCTCCTCAGCACCAAGGAAGTCGACAGCAGCAGCAGAAGCAACAGAGGGGGCAAGGGGGGAGGGGGAGCACCCCTCAAAGAAGGGCGTGCGAGGAGTGCCACGAGTAGCACCTACAACGAGTACACTAGTCTCAACTGCAACAAGGTGCTTCTCAAGCAGGTCGATAGTTAGCTCGGTGGGGTCAAGGGCGAAAAAGTGGTCCTTGACTGCGCAAAGAGAGTCAGGGAGCAAGTGACTATAATTTAGAGAGTGATGTAAATCGGGGGCTCGTTCTTGGTGACGAACTCAGCTGGGAGGGCAGCACAGTAGTGAGTGTCGCTAATGCGAAGGTGGGTGATGAGGTCCTCAACTGTGGCAAAGGAGGACAGCTCGGGAAATAGGTAGGGCAGCATAAGGCGGCCGAGAGCTGCAGTGGCAGGGGAAGAGTAGCGAGCAACTACAGCGTCGTAAAGGGCTTTAGCAGTCTTATGCTGGCCATAGTGAGCTCGTTCGGCTAACAGTATATTGTCTTTGGAATCTCTCAGCAGGTACAACTGTAGGTCATCAAGCCACGTCTCGAACTGGATAGGACGGCCCTCAGGATCGAACTCGAGAACACTGAGAGAGGCCATAGCTTAGCAGAGCAGTGGGACGCGTAAGGCAGGGCAGGGCAGTGCGCAGGCAGGGCAGAGCAGCGCACGGGCAGAAATAGTAGCACGCGGGCTGCAGAGGGAAGCGCGCGGGCAGGCAAAGGCGGCGCCCGGACTGCAGAAGGGCGGCACGCAGGCAAGCAGGAACGGCGTGCGGCAGGTAGGGGCGGCGCGCGGGTCTGCACAAGGTAGCGCGCGGGCAGGCAGGGGCGGCGTGCGGCTGGCAGGGCAGCGCGCGGGCAGAAAAAACAGGCCGCGACAGAGCAGGGCGTGCGCGGGGCGGCGCGACGCAGGAGACGGTGGGCGCGGGCAGCGCGGCGTAGGGCGGGGCGTGCCCGGGCTGCGCGACGGGCCGGGCAGGGTGTACGCAGGACGCGCGACGCAGGCAGGGCGTGCGCGAGCCGCGTGACGGGCAGGGCAGGGCGGGCACGGGCTGCGCGACGCAGGCAGGGCGTGCGCGTGCCGCGCGATGGGTAGAGTAGCGCGTGCGCGGGGTGGCGCGACGCAGGACAGGGCACGCGCGGGCAGCGCGACGCGGGGCTGAGGCGTGTGCGGGAGGGGCGCGACGCAGGGCAGGGCGTGCGCGGGCAGCGCGACGCAGGCAAGGCAGGGCAAGGCAGAGCGACGGGTGGGGCAGCGCTACGGGCAGGGTACGATCGGTGGGCCCTAACGAGAACGATCTTGGAGCAGGACCTGCTCTGAAACCATGTTAGAAACTAGCAGCAGGAATGAATTCATTGAGTAGAAAGTTGATTTAAGTATAACCCTAATTGGGTTGTACCCCATGTTCGCTGTGCGCATTTGCACCCGACCACGTAGAAGGACTCCAGACACGAGAGTCGGCTGAAGAGTCGGGGAGATGTGAGAGTCGCGCGCCCGCCCGAGTCGAGCCCCTTCGGCGCGGCCCGTTCCCCCGCTCCCCCGCTTCCCCATGTTCGCGGCGTACCTTTGCACTGGACCACGTAGAAGGACTCCAGACACGAGAGCCGGCTGAAAGAGTCGAGGAGACGTGAGAGTCGCGCACCCGCCCGCGTCGAACCACTTCGGCGCGGCCTTCTCCCCCTTCGACGAGTCAGGGAGACCTGAGAGTGGTATGTTCAGAGTGGTACTTCCGCCCGCGCCAACCTTTTTTGGCATAGTCCGCTCCCCCATGTTTGCGACGGACTTGCATTGAGAAGGACCCAAGAAACGGGAGCTGGCTGAAAGAGACGGGGAGACCTAAGAGTGGTAGGTCAGGATGTGCTGATCCCTTTAGCGCTGCCGGCTCCCCAATGTTTGCGGCGATCCATCGAACCATGAAGAAGGACTCCAATTTACAAGAGCAGCGGTAGTGTGAGAGTACGACGGCTTATGCCAGCTATGCATGCTTGCCTTTACTTTATTATGCTACTTCTAGCTTAGGTTTATTTTATACATGCATGAATTGCTTGATTTCCTAGGCTAGGTGCTTTCCTATATTTTATTATAGTTATAGCACCGAGCTAGGTTGCGTACACCGAATTCTGGGCTATTCGGTTGCCACCGAATTGCCTTCTACCGAATTCGAGAAGGGTCTGTTCGGGACGCTTCGCGACCCCCAGAACCTTCGCGTAACACCTGGCTACTGCCCCTTGTGTCGAGCCTATATATAGCCTCGTGTTGTACCCAGGTGATCATTCAATTCAAACTCTCTTTTCTGAGCTCGATCCTAGATCCTCACACTTGGTAATCAGAGCCTGTTTACACGCAAAGTTTTTCGACCGCTATAGCCTAGCTTTTAAAACCGCGGGGCCGACGACGGGAAGCGCCGATTTCGGGTACGTAAACCAGTTCCGCGCTGTTTTTTAACGTCCCCCTCGAACCGGTTTTCGAATCCTCCTCAGGTTCATTGGCAAAAATGTTGGAATTTCGACCGTCCGATCGATTCGAATCTCAACGGCCCTGAGAATTTCGCCCAAAAACGTTGGAATTTGGAGCGTCGGATCGAATTTTCTTCTCAACGGCCGAGATTAGACGTGAATTTCAATTAAGGAAGAATTACGTGGCGTACGGATCTAGCGCTCGTTGTTTTTACAGTCGAGTTCGTTCACAGTAAGTTGACCAGCGCCTAGAATGTAATGTTTTCCGTCGCAAATCTTCCTGTAAATCGCCAAATGGAGGAAAATGGTGAAAATTCCGTACGAAAAATTACGGAGTTACGCACCGACGTGGACCAGATGCGAGCGGCACTCCAACGAATAGAGGAGCTTCTGGCAAACCAGTCGGCAGCCGCCACGGCAGCAGCGAACGTAGCAGCGAATGCAGCAACGACGGCAGCAGCAGCATCG